AGTCTCGTAGGTGTTGCTGTCGCTCAGTAGTGTAGTTATTTTTTCCCTCTTTGAGGAGGAGCTTTCTCTTTGAATTGAGAAAGCTCCTCGGATGAGGAGCGAAACGTCTTCTGTTACAAATAAAATCCAGTTGTTTTTGTATTGAACGCTTTTTGAATTTATATATTGTATTAACATGTACTGTATAAAATACTTTCTAATGATGTTATAACTATCATTATATAAGTTGTTTGTTGTTGTGGTTTCTTGGATTTGTCGTTTATTGTTTTATTTTCTCTTTCCGCAGGTCTAGAGGCATACTTCAATGATGTTGATTTGTGTTCTCTTTATCCTCTCTCCTTTATTCCTATCTCCTTCTTTACATTTTATCTCTTCTCTCACTTTTCTGCTTTGTTATCTTCTTTGTTTTCCGTCCCCGTGTCCATTACATCTGAAACAAACCCAAAGCATATTCTAATAAAATTTAATTTATATATCAAGTGGAGCATTAAGGCCAGCCATAATGCTCTGCTTGTGAAAGTAAATCTGTTGGGCATCACTTTGACACTCAGACAATAATTCTAAGTGTCACAATGTCGGACAGGACAAGGGGAAAAAAATAAAAATTAAATGTGTCCTTAAAATCCACAGATGGCAGCAGCGATAGACACATCATCAAGTCTTCCAGTTGATGAGATATCCAGCTGCATGCGTGCCAACAGGGCAATTCGACTCGCCTAAAGCCTGTCTTCTCTTCGAAGAAATGTTGTAAATTGAGTTGAGGGACCAACTGATCAAAACAAGTCCATAATTATGGTTCGGAGGATATGCAAGAGAGGCTCACAAGCAGTTTCACAGACAGACAGAGTGCAAAGCAGAGAGGGAGGGGAGAAGCATCTGATCTCGGCGAGAGCAAGTGGTGAAGTGAATGTAACTTTTGTGGTTTTCTGCATCCAAGCATTTTACCTTGTGTCCTGCTTCTGACGCCATGATTAATTCAGCATCCTTGATGCTATCGCTACACATGCAAGGGTCAAGTTGTTAGGAGGTGTGACACTGTGTAATTGTAACACTTCAAAAATAACCCCAGAACAATACAAACCAAAAATAAAAAGAATTACTCTCTTTTCAGTTTTTTTATATATGAATATTTGACCATGTGTGTTTCTTGTTTTCAATTCAATTCAATTCAATTTCAAAAATACTTTATTAATTCCAAAGGAAAATTATTTGTTGTTGTAACTCGTTATCCTTGTTTCATTAAGAGATGTTATAGATGCTGATGGCTGTAGGCAGGAAGGATCTCTTGTAAAGGTCTGTCCCACAGTGGATCCTAAGAAACTGGCTGCAGACGCTGTCCGATCCGTCCACCCAGACTCGTCTGGCCTCTCCGTTCCCCCGGGCTGTAGGACCGCCCGAATGTCCGGCAGAACTCCTCCCAGAGCGATGGCCACTCCTCCCAGTAGTCTGCCGAGCTCCTCGTCACTGCGGACAGCCAACTAACTGTATGTACTGAGGGACAATCCTGTCCTTCCACTGTCATGAGCCATGTTTCCTGCTAGTTCCAGGATCTCAGTGGTCAGGCACTCCAGCACAGCTGGCAGGTAGATGAGAATGCGTCCACAGAACTTCCTTTTCAACTCATTTGAGATTTGGGGCTGTAGTTGAGATATTATTTGAGCTTTTGAGATGTTAATCAGCTGCTGTTGGTTGTAGAAAACTGCCTTGTTGCCATGGTTACGCATCATAACAAACGTCCAAAACTAAAAAAGTTTCAGTAAAAATCCTTCCAGCTGCACAGCATCCGATACCAGAGGAAACAATCATCCAAAAATGTGATTTACATCCAGAAAAAGAGGAATTAAAGTTTCCAAAAGCAAAATCTCAGAATGAAAGTAACAGAGCTGCTCCAACATGCAGCCATCTTGAGCGGCGCAATTCTAGAACTTTTTTTTTTGGTTAAAAATGTAAAATGTGTCTGAGTTACAAGACTATAAATCTTGGAGAAGATGATGACTTATTATTACTGATGACGATGAAGTCACCCACTGGATTAAAAAAAGTATATTTGTCATATATATATATATATATATATATATATATATATATATATATATATAGCAGTATATTTGCCAGATGCTGAGTATGTTCACGTACTGTCAAGATGTGGTGCTCGGCTTGGCTGGCGTCCATCCTGGCTCAGGTGGACAGGATGAGCTGACCCTGCAGCCTCCATGTTCACATGAACACTTATTCTACAGCAGGACTATGTTTGTTGTTGTTTATTCAGTTTGGTTAGACAGAGCTGCTAAATACACAAACACAAACAAGTAAAAGGGTGAACGAGTTAAATACAAATCCTTTTTACAGGTTGATATTTTTAACCGTTGTTGGTCCCTAACTGGTCCAGTTGATGAGTCTCTTAGCTGCGTTATATTAGTGGGTCAGGTAGCTTTGTTTATATCATTGTTGTATATAGCTTTGTTTATATCACCCCACACCAGGAACTGTGATTGTTACTGGTTTAACAAAACAGAACTGGAAATCTAAGCCAGCAATTAAATTAATACTCCAACGTTTAATAAACGTTTGATATTAAGAACTCAACAAGTCAAGCTATATGAGTTGACTTTTAGTCTGTTTAATACAAACAACGGGCTCCTACATTTGAAAAAAAACATTAATGCGTAAAAATGTGCACCGACCACTGTCATCATGGTGATGTGTCGCAGCAAACAGAGAGGTCTTATTCTCACCTGCTGAAGTCCTCAAGAGTTTCAACACTTTCACCGGTAGTTTCAGGAGCCCACAGTGCCACTGACAGTTAGCTTGTTTATTGTTGCCATGGTTACCTCCATAACGGCTGCTCACGGACACAACAAGGCCTGGAGGGAAAACATGTCGCCCGCCATCTTTTAAGGTGGTCAAACCTTGATGATGACGTCGTGCGCACGCTCGGCATGTTTTTATTTGATCTTTTCTTCTTCTTTTTTGTTTAATTATGAACAATTTACAAACAAACCAAGGCAAATAATGAAAAGCAACAACTAAATTTCACAGGTTGAGTGTTGTGAATGATTCTCAGTTACCACCACATCAAATTTTAACTCGGTGTCTGTAAAATTGACTGTTATTGCCAAGTTTTGTTTTGGTTTTTTTTTTTTCCCACAGTTGGTAGCTGTGGCGGCCATCTTGAGTGAGATTTACTCCAAAATTTTAACCCATTCAGGTATACATCATGCAACTTTATACAGTGGTTTATGGCATATTTTGCTAACACAGACTAGTCTCCAAATTACTAAATGTTTTTAGGCCTAAGCATATTTTAGTTTTCTATATTTTGTATTTTGTAAATGTCTGAATATTCTTTAACTTCTGTCTAAACAACTATCACATGTTTTCATTTGTAAATATTAAAATCTTATTTAACCAGCATTGCTTTAAAAAAAAAAAATCGTCAGTCAAGTCGGAAACGCCCCTTGTAGGGAGCCGCCATCTTTGCTGCAGGACGGGGTGTGAATCCACTCCTTACCGGCGCATGACCCAGCTGGAATTGACGAACAGCGCGAGAGACTAGTTTTTCTCGTCTACGTCAAAAAAAAGTGTCTGCACCATTACATGCGCCGTCGAGTAAATGGGGTAGACCAAATAGTAATTTCAGACGTCCTGCCTTGGCAGAAATCCGCACTAGATTCAAATTACGTGCACTATTTTCAACACAAATAATACAAGACGCTTCTCCTTCTGATATATGTCAAACACTGACAAACTGGTACGTCGAGTATTAGTCGAGCACTGTTCTAAAGTTAAAATTTATTTACAGTCGGGATATGTTTTTGGCTCGAGCAAGTCAAGCTAACACGCTAAAGTTGACATGTTTACCCTAACCTGTGTTGAACCGCAGTGTGTTTGTTTCAGCTCTGACATGTGCGGACGAACTGCGTGCACTCTTGCTCCGGACGAAGTAAGTCGAGCCTGCTCCTACAGGGACCGGAGCGGACGGCGGAGACAGCCCCGCTGGAGGGACGGGGACGCAGACAAATACCGACCCTCCTACAACAAGAGCCCGCAGTCCACGAGTCCGGTTCTGCTGTCGCACAGGCATTTCGTAAAGGTCGCTTGAGTTGATCAAATGCGCCTGATAGATGTGTTTAACGTGATGATGGTCTTCAGCCAGTTTCTGCTGCAGTCTAAAAACATTTGAGTCTGCACAAGTCCAAAATGGGAACACAGAAAGTTTTCTTTCACTCATGGTTAGTGGTTGAGTGAAGCTATTTATCAAACAATTGTGTTAATGACAACAGAAAATACCAAATGACACTCAATAATTTACATACCCTGGAAGTTTTGGCTTGATTCATATTTTGTTTATATAGCGCCAAGTCACAACAGAAGTCATCTTGGCACTGAACAGAAATATATATAAAAAGTAATTTAACAATATTATCTGAGGAGCAGACTGCTTGGAGTTTATCTTCATTGCAGAGGCTCATCTTGAGCAAGCATAAAGGCGACAGTGGGAAGGAAAAACTCCCTGATGGGGAAGAAACCTCCAGCAGAACCAGGCTCAGGACAAGTGGCCATCTGCTTCAACCTGCTGGGTTTGAGAGGAACAGATACACAATGGCAGGTCAAGAATCACATGTTAAGAAAGAAATAGTTTCAAATGCAAACTATTTGTAACAATTCATTTTAAGAAATGAGGTCAATTTATCCTCTTAGTAGTCTAAGTCTATAGCAGCATAACAATCCAACACTAACTATAGGATTTATCAAAAAGGAAAGTCTTAAGCCCAGTCTTAAAACTGAACAATGCTCACGGACAGAAATTGAAAGTGGGTTCCACAAGAGAGAAGCCTAACATACAGGTGTATGGCTACTACAGGTGACCAATACATGGTCAGGTAGACCAACAAAAGCCACAAATACCAGGAAATTTGTTTGGAATGCAAAGAAAAACCCACAAATAACTTCAGCTGACATACAGGACTCTGAGGAAAAAGTGGTGTGAATGTTCCAGGATGTGCAATAAGGAGGCACTTCAAAAATGGGCTGCATGGTCGAGTTGCCAGAAGAAAACCGTTTCTGCGCCAATTAGGCCTGTCACGATAAACAATAAATCAATTGATCGCACGATAAATGAAAATTATCAACATCATTTTCATTTATCAGCTTTTATCGTTTCTTTGTGTCTCTTTCTACTGAAGACACTGGATGACAAAAGGTGCTCTTCACTGACTCCTCCCTTTCTCTTTAAAATCCATTTTAACTGTCCAAAATTACGTTTTTGGATCATTAAAAGCAGCTAAGCTGAGAAACTAAGCTAACAGGCCGACCTCTGGAAAAAACCTCCATCTTGTCAAAGCTCCAAAATTCACAGTTGAAACCCGTGCCTTCATCTAAAACATTGTTTTTCTCTGCAAAAAGAAGCTGAGAACTTGTTTACTGATTTTTTTCTTTTATTAAAAGCTTTGTGTGAAAAATGCTATGCTAAACAGCTCAAACCACACCGAGCGTCCGCTATTTTGAGAACCGAAAAAAAGGAAGGAGAGACAGCCCATGTCACATCAATGAGCCTCCCTCCCATTTTTCCTAAAGAGATACGCTGCTCGCTCCCTCACTATCCATCCTTCTGTTCAAACGGTCTTATACTGCCATCAGGTGGTCAAAAAAAGTACTACACACAAAAATTAACCAACATTTCTTCTTAAATTTGATAATTACTAATCATTGTCAAATTTCAAACAATATTATCGTTTATCGCAATAATTTCTGAGAAAATAAATCGCCCAGCAAAAGTTGTTATCGTGACAGGCCTAGCGCCAATGTCACAAAGCAGCCTGTTCACAATATGCCAAACAGCTCAAGTGAGACGAGCTTCAAAACTTCTGGAACAAAGTCAGTGGAGTAATGGGACCAAAACAACTTTTTGGCCACAACCAAAATTTTGAGAGGAGTCAACAATGCCCATGATGAACGGTACACCATCCCTACTGTGAAACACAGAGGTGGATCGCTGATGTTTGGTGGGTGTGGGGCTAAACAGACAGGGAACTTGGCCAGAATTGATGGCAAGATGAATGCAGCATGTTATCAGAAAATACTGGAGGATAATCTGCACTCATCGGCTCGGAAGCTGCGCAGGGAACACTCTTGGATATTCCAACATGACAATGATCCAAAACACAATAAGGCCAAGTCAGCATGTCAATGGCTACAGCAGGAAAAGGGGAAGGTTCTGGAATGGCCATCTCAGTCTCCTGACCTCAATATCTTTGAGTCACTTTGGGTAGATCTCAAACGTGCAGTTCATGCAAGACAGCCCAAGAATCTACAGGAACAGGTGACATTTCGCCAAGAACAATGGGCATCTGTACCGTGTGAGAAAATAAAGTGTTTCATCCACAACAATCACAAAAGACTTGGAGCTGTCGTTGATGCTACAGGAGGCAATACACGGTATTAAAATCTGTATGTAAAGTTTTGATCAGGGTCATTCGGGTATTTTCTGTTGTCATTATGATGCAAAAAAGGAAAACACAATTATTGGATAATAAATGGCTTCACCCAACCACTAACCATGAGTGAAAGAAAACCTTTTATCATTCATATTCTCTGAAAAATGATCACAAATTCTACCAGTATATGTAAACTTTTGAGCACAGCCGTGTGTAGCCACCTGAAGAAATGAAATTACAATCATTGGATATACCTCAACATCTGATTAACTTCTGGAGTTAAGATGGCTGCCAACACAATGGCTATAACTTTGCTTTACAGATATTGATGAAAAATATGGTGTGGTAGCAGCTGACCGTAATACCCTACACGTACTTTAAGCACTACCTATGCACTATATTACTGCGTTAAACTTTGCCATTAAGTGTTGGCATCAACCCTGTTTGTCTGTTAGCGACATATTTCATGAACCACTGGACAGAATTTAGCAAAATCCCAGGAAATAATCATTGAATATACATTAAATGTAAGCCTAAAATCTAAACTCAATGAGCTCATCACATCTAGTCAGATCACATAATATTGCTTGACTCACATTAAACAGTTACAAGATGTGACCAGAACAGCTTTAATTCAACAGTCCTTCAAGAGATGCTAGGCCTTTTTTCATTTTATTGACGTGGACAATTCATGCAGCCTGATGGCTTCCTTAGCAACTTTTTTAGTTTTATAGATTTATTTCTGTTTTGTTTCCCCCCAATTGGCCCTTTACATTTACTAACAAATGGAGATTGTGTTGCACTGGATTAAACATGGTGGCGCAGTTGGTAGAGCTGCTGCCTCTCAGTGAGCCGGCTACCCTGGTTCAAATCCTGGTCTGGGGACCCTTCTGGGTGGAGTTTGCATGTTCTCCTTGCATGTGTGGGTTTTCTCAGCAACATTAAAACATAGCTTTAATTGTTTTTAATTGGCCCGTACTTTTGGTTAGTTTTACATCGTGTAAATGTGCTTTGAATGTTTCCTCAGAATGCTCCTGTGGATGAATGTGTTTTGGCCTCCATGCGTTGGGGTCTGATACCTGCGTGGTTCAAGGAGAACGACCCGAGCAAGATGCAGTACAACACTAGTAATTGCCGCAGTGAGAATATACTCCAGAAGAAGTCGTACAAGGTGCACACGTTTGTAGAGACCCATCTGATCTAACAAGGTTGAATCAGATCCTCTGGACGGATTATTCTGTGTTGAAACGTTTCGTCTTTTATCCAAAAGACTTCTCCAGTCTGAGGAGCTGCAACAAACTCAAGGGCCCAACGTACGCCATCAGCCAAACAGTCAACGTGCAGCCACGTGGTTGTAGGACGTTCATTTTCACACACACCTTTCATAGTCCGCGAGACACAGGTGTAGAGCTCCTGGGAAACCCCTCCCACTGAAGTATACGTCACCACACTGGTTTCTTCCTGCCAGAGTCTCCACTCCGTCCCTACATCTGCTGTTTGACCACAAATCTATCATGGAGAGCGCTACACTTTTCAGCAGACAGACTCCTCCGTACACAATGTCTGCACGATCTCCATCCAGGAGCTTTTGGCCATTTGACTAATAGAGTGTGTTTGAAGAGTCTTACAGCTGTAAATCTGAGTGCATTTCCACATTGACGAACACACCTGACCAATCACACAATACTTGGTGCATACGCCTGTGAGAAAACGTTGGGCCGGGGCCTTGTGTTGAAAAGGGACAGGCGAAGCTGCTCTGAGAACAAAATGATGCCATTTTCATCACGCAACCGTGACGATGAGAGCAGATTTTGTCACTTTGGATGGAGTACATCAGGGACCTCCAGTCTTATAAGGAGCACCTTCTCATAGTGGATCCACCAGTTTGCTGGTGACAGACAAAACTAGCTGTTCACATGCAAAAGGAGGACCATCAGCCTAACGATTGATCATTAGTGCCCTGATGGCCACTTCCTAAACTGTGCCCCTCTTACAGTGCTGTCATTTCAAGTATCGCTCAGCCCTCTGAATAGCAAGCGGCCACCAGAGCACTAGCAACCAATTGTTAGGACACTATCAATCAGTCGTGATGGTCAGCTGATGGTCCTCCTTTACATCTGAACAGTTAGTTCTGAATGTAACCAGCAAACTGGTGGATCCACTATGAGAAGGTGCTGAGTTTGTAGCAGTGTTTCAGACTGAAGAAGTCTTTTGGATAAAAGACAAAACGTTTCAACAAAGAATCTGTCCAGAGGACCTGACTCAACCTTGTTACATTCATCTACCTGGATTATTGAGCATCAGGACATCTGTTCTGTGCTCAAGTTTTTCATTAACTGTGCAAGAGCTCAAATATTTTGCATGTTATTTTTTAAGGATCCCCTGCTGAAGGGACAGCGCTGTGTCATCCTGGCTGATGGGTTTTATGAGTGGCAGAGGAGGGAAAAAGAGAAGCAGCCGTTCTTCATCTATTTCCCGCAGGCCAAGGGGCCCAGCCTGGTCAAAAAGGAGGATCAGGAAGAGCCCACGTCTCCAGTTTGCAATAAAGAGAAATCAGGAATGTTCCACCCTCCAGGGGAGACCTCTCCTGGTTTATCAGAGGTTGACTCTTTTATAGCAACATTTTCTTTTATGAAAACAAACTGTGAAAAAAAGTGAACTAATGTTCTTTTAACATAAATTTCATGCACATTTATACATGAAAGTTTGACGTGTCAGTCAAAGAACTGTTAACTGTCAGTATTGAAACTAAGCGTTCCTGATCTTTTTACGTTGGTAAGGATGGAGAAGCACCAGCTGAGTGGACTGGATGGAGGTTGCTGACTATGGCTGGAGTGTTTGACTGCTGGACACCACCTGCTGGTGGAGAGCCTCTGTACTCGTACAGCGTTATCACCGTGGACGCGTCTCCAAATCTTGAAAACATCCACGATCGGTATGAACAGCTGATAAGAAAGCTCGTTTCTCTTCCCTCTCAGTCTGTGCAACCTCAGAAATCGCTTGACGGTTTCAGAATGCCTGCGATCCTGGATGGAGAAGAAGAAGTGAGAAGGTGGCTAGACTTTGGGGAGGTGAAGTCTCTAGATGCCTTGAAGCTGCTGCAGTCGAAAAACATTTTGACTTTTCACCCAGTGTCTTCTCTCGTCAACAACTCTCGCAACAACTCCCCCGAGTGCCTGCAGCCAGTGGATCTCAACAGGACAAAGGTACGGAGGATTTCACAAACTGGGTTTAGAAAATCTAACTTTGAACGGCTGAAACATCTGACACATGAAGTTTGATTTACAGGAGCCCAAACCCTCAGCAAGCAGCAAGATGATGATGAGCTGGCTGTCTAGCAGTGGCTCTTTAAAGAGGAAAGAGTCGTGCATGAAAGAGAGCAAAGAAGAGCCAGAGAGCAAGGCAGAGACGCCCCGCAAGTCTAGAGGAGCCCTGCAGCTGTGGCTTCAGGGCTCCAGCAAGAAACCCAGAACCAAGTGAAGCTAAAGAACTGACTCTGGAAATGCAGCAGATTAAGATATTCAGGACTCGTTTTTTTCTACTTCAACTGTTTTCATATGTGTTGAAAAATTTGTACTTATTTTTGTACTTTTTACATTTATAAGGAATTGCCACTGTTCAAAACAGACAAATAAATACATTAAAAGTTTGCATGTTTAAGTCAAGATTTTTATTATCTTTATTACTCGAAACACAAAGACATTTTGAACCAATGCTGATGTGCATTTATCATATTAATATGTAATAATAATAATGAATGCCAGATACTCCCCCACATTTTCCAACTTTCAGAGTTACAGTATGTTTGCTAAGTTTTAACATAATACAAACAGGCAGTTAAAGATCTGATTGGTTAAAAGAAATACCAAGCACTTCAATGGTTTCTCAGCACACACAGCTGGTAGAGTCAAACATGGGAGATTTACAACACGAGACGTATGCAAATGTACAAATTCTTGCAATAGTTGACAGGAAACAAAAACGAGATAAAAGCAAAGGAGATTTGAAATAATCTCAATGTCTGTCAGGCAGATTGATACACTCTTTGATTTGATTCATTCCCTGATCGGAGGCTGATTGACCTGTAATAGATTACAAGAAGAACCATAGTTCCTGAAGGAACGACTGACATCACGGAGCTGGGTCTCAACCTGAACAATAATCACACCAAATACTGTGGCTCAAAATGAGTTGTCTCCACAAATTTTAGTTCAGTTTGATATTAAAAAAAAAAAGTGAAAAACACGTTTGATGAACTTGTTGCACTGTATCTTTTTTTGGGGGCCAATCAATAAGAACCAGCATATTATTGTAATCTACTTGTGCAAATTCTGTCACACGCACACAAACACCCATACACACACAACTCCCCGATGAAATAACCTTTTCTTCTTACGAGGCTTATGTGAAACCATGGTAACAAGTTGGTTTCAAGAGTGATGGTAATTTAAGCCACAACACAAATGAATATTGGCCGGCAGGGTTTCCTTGTTCATGCAGCAGTGACGGGCTGCCAAAAACAGGAAACAACCACCACAAATAACTCAGAATTTAAAAAATAAATTGTCTAACCTAAATCAAAACCTTCAAATACACATAGATGTAATGTTTCAATTCTCCACATAAAGTATCAAAATAAAATTCAGGACTGAAAGCAGCGATAAATGTGGAACTGAACATGAAATAAACAAATCACCATGAAGGACTGAGGGAGAAACACTGGGAAGTAACAAGCATTAAACAAGTAAATGTCATGTTTTCTTAAGGTATTCTTTGGGCTAGGAGACTCGTATTATATAGAAAATGTGTGTTTTGTTTACATAAAGAAGTGGCTGCAGCACGTGTAGTAATGTACTATGAGTGGGATGCTGCTCTTTTGGTGGGCATCAGGGCATAACAGTTGGCCATGGGACAGGGGGTATATAGACAAGGCAAGACAGGGTGATGGAGATGACCTGCCGATGACCTTCAGAGTCCTCAGCAGCTGCAGGTTTCTGCAGACGGCTTGGCTCGCTCGTTCCTGTCCAGCTTTATTGGCTCAGGGAACTCGTTGTACAACTCCACTTCAGTCTCCTGGGATCAGACAGAAGCCACCGTGAGAAAAATGATATTTAAATAATCTGGAGTCAGAATGCCTGCTGGCTGGTTTTCCTTTACCTGTTTAAGAGCATTGCGTGCAATAGTCTGGAAGGCCTGCTCCACGTTGATCGCCTCCTTAGCGCTGGTTTCAAAATATGGGATGTTGTTCTTGCTCTGACACCAAGCCTGTGATCGTTTGGTTGTCACCTGACAGACAAAACAGCTGATGTCAACAGTAAGAACACGAAGCGCATGATTATGTCTTTTTATTTAACACATTTTTAATAACTACATTACGTAATGTTTTTATGCTATTAGTGCTTAGTGCATTTTTAGTTGATGTTTTTCTTAGTTCATATCTTACGTTATTGTTGTTTTGCTTTTACATTTTATTGTTGGATGTAACTGGGACCCTGTTTACATAATTTTGTTTTTGCAAACGACAAAGAATCTCTTGACTCTGACTCTAAACACATTTTTGCGAGATAAAACAAGAGACAACTGACACCCACAAAGAACTTAAATTAGACAAAGGCATCAACCTGTCTGTTCTCCAAGTCGATCTTGTTGCCCAGCACCACGAAGGGGAAATTCTCTGGATCTCGGGGGCTCGCCTGGATCAAGAACTCGTCCCTCCAGCTGTCTAAGGTCTTGAAGGTGTTGGGTGCGGTGACATCGAAGACCAGAACACAGCAGTCTGCTCCACGGTAGAAAGCGACGCCTAAGGACTGGAACCTCTCTTGACCTGCTGTGTCCCAGATCTGTAACAGAACGTTAAAGGAATCAGCTGCAAGACGGACGCTGTCCATTTGATTCAAGACAATAACTTGACTGCTGACGTGTATTCAGTATTTGTTTTTCTGTATGATTTATATTTGTCTTGATCATTAGAGTTTATTAACACAAAGCTGATGTGGAGCCAGCAGTGACAGACCCTTCTGCTCCCTCTTTTTAAATCCCATCTTAAGTCTGGCCAAAGACAAAGTGCCTGAACCACAAAGACCTTGCTCAAACAAATATTCAAACGACACATGTACCTCTGCAGGACATTTCTATTCAACAGAGAAGGGAACAGCACTTTTAAGGGGAACAAGAGGACCACATAGATCCCGTATAAAAAACATAAATCACAATTTGCCTTGTTTGTGTATTAATGCGAGCTGCACGGTGGCACAGTTGGTAGAGCTGCCGCCTCTCAGCAAGAAGGTCAATGGATCGAATCCTGGCCGAGGGGCCATTGTGGGTGGAGTTTGTATGTTCTCTCCGTGCATGCGTGGGTTTTCTGTGGGTACTCCAGTTTCCTCCCACAGACCAAAAACATGCATGTTAGGCTGATGACTAAATTGTCCCTAGGTGTGAGTGAGACAGTGAATGGTTGTTTGTCTCTAAAGTGTCTCTGTGATGGACTGGAGACCTGTCCAGCATGTCCCCCACCTCTCGCACAGAGATTACTGGATATGGGCACCTGTGACCCAAAAAGGAAGAAGTGGGTAAAAGATAATGGATGGATGTATTGATGCCAAACAAAACTGGTCTCTTGAGTTATAGTCATCAAAGTACGGTAGTCTAAACCTGCCTATTTTAATGTGAAAAGAGACCATGTAGATAAAATCATAAATGTGGGCCAGCTGCCAGGTGGGTATGAAATTAATGTTTTGTGAGCCATACACGTATAATTAGGTTGTCATTTTTTTAATGTCCAAACAAAATACAGTTGCATGTCTCAGTCACTTTGTCGTACATACTCAAAGTTGACAAAAAGACAGACTGCAATGGAAAATTATGTATTTTCTCACAATTTTGAGTCAAGTTTGACTTGTCAACTTGTCTCCAACAGTTGCAGCCCAGTGAGGTGCTATCCAAACATGACACGTAAAAACTTTTCATTTACCTCCATCTTCCCAGAACAAATAATGATTTTTACACAAGCAAAACCAAGTAAACGATCATTATTTGATCATCATTTATCATCTGCCTGTTTTTTAAGACTTGGGCATGTTTCCTGTTAATGTTCCCGTGCAGGTGTCAAAATGCAACTCCAGTGTTCTTCAGACAAAACAGAGCTGCTCAGTTCAAAACAGTTCAAAGCTTCAAGGCACAACCGAGACGAGTTTGAGAGGCCCGTGACAATTCTGTCACTATTTGAGGGAAAATTTGTTTTATAAATTTTTATACACAGTACATTTGTTGCACAAAGTTCAAGCTACAAGCTGCAGTAACTAAAGCGAGGAGATGAACAACCCCTGTGAACATTGAGAGAACTTCTGCACCAACTGGTTGCCAGCTGTCTCATCCCAGTGAAATACTCCCTTAAGTGTTTTCTTTCTATTGTCTTATCCGCCTTATTTACACCAGTTCACCATGGTGACCAGTCAATCACAAAGATCTTAAATACAAACCAACGCAGAAACAAAATGGTGTGAAGGTTCAGATGGTGAACCACAAGGATTTTAACATGTTTATACTGAAATGTCACTCCAGTCATGTTTGGTGTAAACAATCTGACAAAGATAGCTGTGAGCTTTTAACTTTTTTTTGTTGCTGCATTTCTTTTACATTGCAACATGATATTTAGTTCTGCTTTGTCTTTTATTCTGCATCAAGTCTGAGCCCAGTAGACTACTGATTTTATTGATTGCATGGTTTTATTTTTGTATAACAAGTCTCTCTTGCAAATGAGACAACTGTGTCTCAACCTGACTACCCTTTATACAAAATGAAATATAGTAAATTAAACATTGATTTTTATTATTTTAACAAAAATTAGATGTCATATTTGAAGATTAGCTACCATTTTTTTTTGTTTGACATGTTTCCATTAGACCACTGTTTACAGTTCAAATTGGATGAACGAGATAGTACAATATTATACTTGTTTTTTAAAATGAAAATACAACAAATGTTCACAGATGTTCTGGGTTTAATGTAGGCCTGTCACAATACACACTTTATCAATTAATCGCATGATAAATGAAAATTATCAACCTCATTTTCATTTATCAGCTTTATCGTTTCGTCATGTCTCTCTCTTTCTACTGAAGACACTGGATGACAAAAGGATCAACTTCGGTGCTCTTCACTGACCCCTCCCTTTCTCTTTACAATCTGTTAACCGTCCAAAATTGCATTTTTGGATCATTAAAAGCAGCTAAGCTGAGAAGCTAAACTACGAGCTAAGCTAACAGGTCGACCTCGGGGAAAAAACTCTGTCTTGTTGAAGCTCCAAAATTCACTGTTGAAACCCGTGCCTTTGTCTAAAAAGTTGTTTTTCTTTGCAAAAAGAAGCTGAGAACTTGTTTTCTGATTTTTTTATTAAAAGCTTTTTGCGAAAAATGCTATGCTAAAGAGCTCTAATCACACCGAGCATCCGCCATTTTGAAAACCGAAAAACAGGAAGGAGAGACAGCCCATGTCAGGTCAAGGGGTCTCCCTCCCATTTTTCTTAAAGAGACACGCTGTTCACACCCTCACTATCCATCCCTTGGTTCAAACAGTCTTGTACTGCCATCCAGTGGTCAAAAAAAGGTACTACACACAAAAATTAACCCAACATTTCTTCTTAAATTTAACAACAATTACTAATTATTGTCAAATTTCAAACGATATTATCGTTTATCGCAATAATTCCTGAGACAATTAATCGCCCAGCAAAATTTGTTATCATGACAGGCCTAGTTTAATGTTCATGAGACAACTGCATTTCAGGAAAAAAAAGGATCACCTGCATTGTGACGAGCCTGTCATCTACCATAACTTCTTTCGTCAGGAAATCAGCTCCAATTGTTGCTTTGTACTGGTTGCTGAACTTCTTATTCACATACTGGTTCATTAATGAGGTCTTTCCAACGCTACAAAAACAAATATCCCAGGACAATTATGAGCACAGGTTGGAGAAAAACAATAATGACAATAAAAATAGAGTCGCCACTCAGGCCTTTTGTCTTTACGGCACTTACCCAGAGTCTCCAAGGATGATGACTTTGAGAAGTACTTTCTTCCTTGATGTCATTGTCCTGCAGCTGAGAGAACAAAAAGCTAAACTGGATGCAAAATTAAATCAGCAGATCACAACTAACTGGGTGCTGCCTTGTCATATTGGTCAACATCAGCTGCAACCTGTTTCATAGATGTGTCAAAAACGGTTGCTTTATATAACTCAAAATACACTCTAAAGAAAAAGACTTGTTTGAGAAATGTGCAAGGCCTTTTTCCACTGACAGTAATAATCAACAAGCTGCACTGCATTCTATTATGAGTTGACAGACAATGATGTCTGGGCACAGCCAGGGCGACTGGAACTGCAACAGCATACAGGAAAGAACTGAGTAGATGCCATTTCTTAATGAGGCCTTAAATTTTCAATGATTGCAGTTAGATGTTGCAAAAATCTTTCAGACTGATTACCATTAGGGCTTAATCCAAATCAAGATGGCCGCCACTTCTAATCAAACACAAAAATGACTAACTCAGTCAATTTTGTCAGAAATTTGGTGTGGTAGTAGCTGAGAGTCCTCCTCAAACTCTACTTGAAGCACTAATAATCTAACAACTCCTTGCAATATTGCATGAGATTGTACATGTCGTCATTTACAGGGTTTGACCAAGTACCGGTGTCCCACATCTTTAATCTGTCCATAAGCCAAAACTCCATTCCAGACGCTTGGAAAACAGCCTTTATTCTACCTATGCTGAAGAGAGGTGACCCCACCTCACTGAACAACTATCGACCAGTCTATAAACTCTGCATTTTAGCCAAGGTTCTAGAAAAACTGATAAACTCTCAAATCAAAAAGCATTTGGACTCACTTAACATCTTACCTTCCCTAACATCTTGCGTGAAAAATCACATCATGTTGCTGTGTTCATGCATGCTCATCTGCTCACACAGACTCATGTTCGTGCTGCTGATCGGCGTAATGTTTCTATGCTATTAGTGCTTAGCGTATTTTTAGTTAACGTTTTTCTTAGTTCATATCTTAGATCTTATTACTGTTTTTCATTTACATTTTATTGTTGGATGTAACTGGGACCCTGTGTACACAATTTAGTTCCACCACATATACGAATGACTAATAAAGAAACTCGGACTCTCTGATGATACAGTTGTTTATTGTCGAGCTAAAACAGTTGCTCAGATTTTCCAGCTTTTGCAATCTGCTTTTGACATCATCCAGTCTGATTTGTTTCGTCTCAAATTTGTCCTAAACACTGACAAAACCAAAGGGATGTTATTTTCAAACAGGAAGTCAGTCCCAGCAGTTTTTCCTTCAATTTTATCCTCAAACGGTGTCCCTATTGAGTTTGTCAATTCCTATAAATATTTGGATATCTTAGTCGATTCACATCTCTCTTTTAAGTGCCACGGCCTTACACAGGTCTCTATTGTAAATGAGTCCCTGAGGCTCAATGGGATTAATCTGTATAAATAAAGGTTTAATGATAAAAAAAAAAGGTTGAATGATTAAAAAAAAAAGAACTGCTACAACGCCCTCCCTTCTAATCATCAAATGATCTGAGTTTAAAACTCTGGACGGAGAGGCAGCGGGTGATATGCATTCCTTCAAGGAATGCCACCCTTTATTTGTAGATTTAGAAATAAAAGCACAAACAGCCAGACTGTTCACCTTAGCAAATTGGGTTGATCCACTTTGAAATGGAAGCTGCCTTTATTCCTCCTCCAATTGTAATACACTCTATAGCTTTTAAATCTCAGAGTTGTAACAAACACAATTGTTCCAGCTCAAAAAGGCATCACAAAGCACTTTTGACTTAGCGTGTTACGCAATAATAAACTCCTCATAAAGCTGTAATGGACAAAGTTCACACTCTGTTACGGCTGGGGATAAAATTATTATTCCTATCAGGTAAGGAGACAGCAAAAACTGAAAGGAGCTACAGAGTTAAAATTGTGGTCATAACTTGTGAAGTCTCTTCAAGAAGTCACGGCCTGAAGCCAAACTAACACAGAGCTATCTGTCTGCGGCTCATAATCTGGACCCCATGACACCGTGTCAGGGACTGATCACATGGCTTTAAACAGACGAACGGAACCATGACTTGGCAGGCATGATTAGCACACCAAGTGCCTGAAAGGGAAAACAAAGAGCTACCGATGCGACCTGCCAGATTGCAACTTAATGTTTCTGCTGATGAACAGTATCAGAGATTTTTAACAAAGGTTAGCAACAGAGAGTAAACTGTTGTTGTTGACCCTGGCTACATATATAAAAATACATCTTGAAAATAGCATTCACATTATAAACTAGTTTGAATTACAAAACAAATTATGTAATGAATTTTACTTTTAAGATGCGTTTCGTAAGCTAAGCAATGTTGTGAAATTATATAACGACAGCATATGGTTAGCATATGTAGAAGTAAAACGCAGCTTTAGTCATCATAAACCAACCTCTGTGATGTGTCTTCGAATAATAATAATAAAAAAAATAAAAATAAAACGTGTTTTTTCCTTTACCTCTTTACTTCTTATAGTGCCGAGCAAAAGGCGCAGGATGGCTGACAGGCTAACACAGCTCCAACAAATGTCTGCCCGGAACAAAAGTACACGCTCAAAATGTCCACAGCTGGTTAGCTGCCTGATAGCTAGCCTCTCTGCTAAGGCCGTCTGTCGAAAACAACACACCTGACGTAAAATTATTTACTAGAACAATCAGTTTCTCCTTAGCACTCACTTTTCCTGTCAAGCTAACTGCTAGCAGCTGACTGAACTAGCTCTGTCCACTTCCTCCAAAACAAGCTGTGTTCGCTAGGGCCTGACGTCACGCGCAGGCCACGCCTTGTTGTGCGGGACCGTATGTCGCATAGCAACACCCGTTCATACCGACCGAATCATGGGCTGTGTTGCCAATTCATAATCCGAAAACAAACAAACAAACAAGCAAACAAAAAAGTCCGAAAACAGAAGTACAGTACTACTGAACAGCATTTTAATTATGAATATATTTTATACAACCCTCAGAGGCTTTACAAACACGACCATCAACTGTTGAAATGTTTATATCTGATTGTGCAACACCTTTTTATGTCCCTTTTTGCTTGTCAAAAGAGAATCAAAGCACTCTATCTCCATTTTATTCTTCTTTTTCAGAGGTTGTCTTTTTAGCCTTTTGTTTTTTCTCCACGGTCTGTGTGTGTAAATTTTATGGAAGTTATATTATGCAAATTGTTACCTCAAAATGTTTTTTTAATCCCCTAAATAAATTTGATTATTTTTCATTTTTCTACAAAGATGTCAGGTTTTCTGTCTTGCCTTTTGGCAAGAATTTAATTTATTTGTATTTAAAGTGTGACGAGATATTGACTAAATCACATTTAATTGACTTGATAAAACTAATTTATGCTTTACACTCATTTTAATAAATTGTAGCTTTTGTTTTTCTAAACAGCAAAACAAATATCTAACATCTGTATTTCAAGGTAATTGTTTTCTAGTCCATGAACACACATGACAGCTTATTTCATTTTGTTTACCTTCATGGTTGCTTTCAGTCAGGCTAAGGGCATTCATTTCTTCAGGCTTTATCTTCCAATAGTTTTTCAAATGTTTATTTAAAATGTATTTAAGTTTTAGCTTACCTATAAAATATACCGTATACATTTCAATTTACTTGAGAATAACCGTCCTATACAGAGCAAGTCAAACTTAAGTTCAAGGTTCAAGTTTCTTTATTTCATTCACATCGCATGTGGTACATGTGGTGGAACGAAATTTAATACACAGGGTCACAGTTATATCCAACAATAAAATGTAAAAGAAAAACAGTAATAAGATCTAAGATATGAACTAAGAAAAACATTAACTAAAAATATGCTAAGCACTAATAGCATTAATAAACAATGCGCCGAACAGCAGCACGAACATGAGTCTGTGTGAGCAGATGAGTACATAATGATGAGTAGTTGTGATCTTTACCCCAGATGAGTAATTGTGTACTCAAGGTCCCAGTTACTCCCAAAAATATCAAAAATACAAAGTATAAAAAGGAACAATATACAAGGATCTAAGATATACGTTAAGCACAAATGTAAAATAACACGGTATATTAAACAGCAGCCCGAATATGAGTCTGTAGTGCGCAGATTTTTATTCATTCAACCTTTATTTAAACAGGTTAATCCCACTGAGCCTCAGGGGCTCATTTACAAGAGAGACCTGAATTTTAACAATGAGTGCTGACAACAATGAACAATCATAAAGGATGCATACAAATAAAATAAAAAAAAATAACATGTGAAAATAAAATGGTAATTAAAAGGATAATTAAAGGGAAAAGTATAGCGAAAAAAACAGCTAGTTTGTTAGGTGGTGTAGAATAATAAAAACAGGAACATGTCTGCGTTGGTTTTCCCCAGGAACTTAACAGATTAAAGCCGCTTAGAGAGGTCCAGGTCGAGAGCTTAAGATCTTTTTCAAGATATTCCAGGAAACAGGAGCGGAGTAGGAGAAGGCCCTTTTGCCTAGTTCAGTCCTCACTGAGGGGACACTGCATGTAATAATGTCCTGAGAGCGCATGCTGTATACAGCATGAGTGCAGCTATAAACCAGCTAATTTAAAACATATTGATCTCAAATTTTGTATCCCCAACACAAACCGAATGCTAATATAAAATTTAAAATGACCACCAACACTATGTAGCTATAACTCAGCCATTTATAAACATGCTAGTCTGAAATTTAGCAATAGTAGCAGAAAAAAATCCCCAAAACACAATAAATGCAAATCAAGACTTTATGGCCAACAAGTGACTGGCCCCACTTTATTTTTGTACTCTTATTTTTAAAAAAAATTCTTAAGGGGAGTGGTGGAGCAGAGGTTAGGGGAGGTGGGCCTTTGATCGGAAGGTTGCCCGTTCAGCTTTCTGCACCAACAACATCAAAATATGGATGAAATGGTGAAACACCCACACCTTTCTCCATGCCCCACTCTGGGCCCCTGAGTAAGGCCCCCAACCCCCACCATCTGCTCCACCTGGTACCCTTGATGGCAGCTCTCTGCTCCACTCAGGGGTAGCTCGGTGGTCTGTGGTTGTGTCAGGATGGACACAACCAAGTCTTCGTGCGAGTTAGTTCACTGTGGCGACCCCTAAAGAAGGGATCAGCTGAAAGAAAAACTAAATAAATAAATAAAATGTTTTCAGCCCATTAAGTTTTAGCTACTGTCTTGCAAATTTATAGATTTTTGCAGCAATTTTACTCATTTTGGCATATACTGTAGGTATGGTTAATTTAGATTTTTAGCTTTGATTTTTCTTCTTGCTATGGTTGCGATCATTTTAACTGTTATTTACAGTTTGCTAATTTGAAGGGTCAGGAAGGGTTCAGCTAATTCTATCTTTTAGCTATTCGTTTGCCAATTTTAACTTTTTTATTGTTTGCTAAATGTAATGCTAAATGTATCTTTTCGCTATGGGTTTGATTGTTTCAGCTTGCAGCAATGGTGTTGCTGGTTTAACATTTTGGCTACAGTTTGACAATTTTAGCATTCAGCTATGGTTTTGCTAATTTAGCTTTTAGCTCTAATCTTGTTACTTCGAGCTGTTAGCTACACTTTGGAAATGTCAGCATTCAGCTAAGGTTTTGCTAATTTTAGCTTTTAGCCATGCTTTTGCTGTTTTTAGCTTTCAGACATAGTTTAGCTAATTCATGATTTAGCCACAGGGCAGCACGGTGGCGCAACTGGTAGAGCTGCTGCCTCTCAGCGAGCTGGTGCTTGGTTCAAACCCCGGTCCAGGAGCCTTTCTGGGTGGAGTTTGCATGTTCTCTCTGTGCATGCGTGGGTTTTCTCCGGATGCTCCGGTTTCCTCCAGACCAAAAACATGCATGTTAGGCTGATTGGTAACTTTAAATTGTCCCTAGGTGTGAGTGAGAGAGTGAATGTTTGTTTGTTTGTTTCTATGTGGCCCTGTGATGGACTTGCGACCCGTCCAGGGTGTACCCCGCCCCTCGCACAGTGATTGCTGGACATGGGCACCAGCGACCCCCGTGATCCAAAATGGAATAAGCGGGTAAAGATAATGGATTGATGGATGGATGATTTAGCCACATTTTGCATACTTTAGCACTCAGCTACATTTTTTGCTACTTTACCCTTTGGATGTGGAGTTACTATTTTTAGCTATTACGTTCAGTATTCAGCTAAGGTTTTACTGGTTTTAGCTTTCAGCTGTATTTTGCTAATTTAGACTTTTAGCTACAGTTTTTCCATTTTAGCATTTAGGCTAAGGTTTTGCTAATTTAGCTTTTATCTATTGTCTTGCTAATTTTAATTATAAGCTACAGTTTGTGAATGACAGCATTCAGCTAAGGTTTTGCTAATTTTAGCTTTTAGCTATGCGTTTGCTATTTTTACTTTTATACACTGAATTGTCAAAAATAATAACGTCATCCAAACCATCCACATGTCTGCTAGATCCCATCCCAACCAGACTGTTATACCTAATAATGTCCACATTTTGGATCTACTTAATTTGTCTTTAATGGATGTTTATGTACCACAGCACTTTAAGGTTGCTGTAATTAAACCTTTACTTAAGAAGTCTAATCTTGATTCAGAAATTCAGGCCAACTATAGACCTTTATCTAATCTAACTTTCATCTCAAAAATTCTAGAGAAAATAGTTGCAGGTCAGTTGCGTAAACATCTACAAAGAAATAATCTGTTTGAAGAGTTTCAGTCAGGGTTTAGAGCTCATCATAGCACAGAAACAGCACTAGTAAAAGCAACTAATGATATTCTCATGGCCTCAGACAATGGACTTGTGTCTATACTGGTCCTGTTAGACCTCAGTGCTGCATTTGATATGGTTGATCACAATATTTTACTACAGAGGCTTGAATATGATATTGGGATTACAGGAACGGCTCTAAAGTGGTTTAAATCATATCTATCTGATAGAGTCCAGTTTGTAAATGTAAATAATAAATCTTCTTCATACACCAAAGTTGGTCATGGAGTTCCTCAGGGCTCAGTGCTTGGGCCAATACTCTTTACTTTATATATGCTTCCATTAGGTAAAGTTATTAAACAGCATGGGCTAAATTTTCATTGTTAGGCCGATGACACACAATTATATTTGTCCATTAAACCCAATGAATCCAATCAGCTACTTAGACTACAAGCATGTCTTAAAGATATAAAAACCTGGATGACCCTTAATTTTCTCCTTTTGAACACAGACAAGACTGAGGTTTTGGTTTTTGGACCTGAGCACCTTAGGAATTAATTTTTCATTCTTTCTCCCTCCTTAGATGGCATTAATCTGTCCTCCAGCTCTAATGTTAAAAATCTTGGTGTTATTTTTGATCAGGACATGTCTTTTATCCCCCACATTAAAAAAGTTACTAGAACTGCTTTCTTCCATCTGCGTAATATCACTAAAATTAGAAACATCTTATCTAAAAATGATGCAGAAAAACTGGTCCATGCATTTGTCACATCTAGACTGGACTATTGCAATGGTTTATTATCTGGGTGTCCAAATACTTCTTTAAAACGTCTTCAGTTGATCCAAAATGTTGCTGCCAGAGTCTTAACCGGAGTTAGTAGGAGAGATCAAATTTCTCCAGTTTTAGCTTCTCTCCATTGGCTCCCTGTCAAATCCAGAATATAATTCAAAATCTTACTTCTAACCTACAAAGCCCTCAACAACCTAGCTCCATCTTATATTACAGATCTTGTTGTTCCATATTTTCCTAACAGAGCACTTCACTCTCAGACTGCAGGTTTACTTGTGG